CCTTACTCAGCGAGTATCCCTTAAGACACTCGTTTTGGGAGCAGCTTTTAATAAATGAAAAGCGATTGTAGCATAAATGGCAATGCAAGCGTGTTTCACGTCGTTTGGCAGAAGGCTGTGGGTTCGATTCCTGTAGCTGGAAAATCGAGCAAAGGTCCAATTCCTTGCTCGTGCGCGTGGCCAACCCCTGGGCAACTGGGGGAGAGCCCACGGTGCAGCGTTGCTGTACCCTCCCGACAGAAGAGGCATCGTGATATCATACCGGAGATAATCGCAGTTCGAATCTGCGCGTCGCTTCTTTTTTTACCTGTTTACCTTTTAAGTTTAATCTACAACCACTGTAACGCGTTGTTCTGCTGTACTGATAACCTGTTTCGACATGTTGGAAGCAGGTGTTTTGTCACGACCTGCAGGAGCGATGGGAATTTATGAAAACGTCAAATACAGCCTGTATCTATTGTTGGGGACTGGTCTGTTAAACCTGGGGTGAATATACATTCGACAGGAAGTTTTCAAAGTCTGAGGTTTGTGAGGTCAAACAGGCCGAATAATTCGACGCGCTCTTGCCCAGACACTGATTCGACTGTGGCACCATCAGAGCTCGAAGCCCTTTGCTCCATAAAAACATCTGAGGAGGGGTAGCTGTCTGTAATTAATTCTGAATGTGGGGGAGAGCATGTGAGCTTTCTCTCGCCCTGTTTGCTCGCAGAATCGAGCTGCCAGCTCAACATTCCTCGCCGGATCTCTTTTCACGACATTGTTCCAATATACCCCATCAGAGCAACCGGTTTGTTTCTCTTTTTCTTCTTCTTCTTTTTTTTCTTTGGCTCACAACAAGCCCGCTACCGCCCATCAAGTCTTGCGCTGGCTCTTGTGCCATCGCCTTGGATGAGGTGCTCGAAATCCCTACTCGACATTGATAATTGCGGCCATCTCAACGATTTTATTTCAAAATACAGATGTCATTTCTTTCTTGAAATGTTGAAAAGGGGTAACAATGGGAACCTTGAATGTCCCCCAGGCGTTGTTGCGCCAATGTGTACGTACCTAATTGCCTACTCCATTCCGCCACTGAAAGAAACAAGCTAGTCCCAAGAGAATGCCCAATGTGACTGACCAATTTCCTCCCATATTGAACAGCACGTACACCCGAATGCATGGCCCGGTACCCTCGAATTCTCCGGTCACAGGTCAGACCCCGAACCAATACTCAAGTTCGCCAGTTCAGCCGCCAAGAGAAATGCGACATGGGAACGTCTAAGCCTCGCCGTCTTTTGCGACGCATCAGGGGTGCTTGGCCAGACAACTGGTGGTTATGCGGTTGTATTCCGTCAATTTACCCCTGGCCAGCCCCAGCATGGGACCGTGACGAGAGTGGCGTTTTCTGTTCCAATGGAGGACCACAACATTGGCGAAGGTATGGCCTTTGCGGAAGGAATAAGACGCACAAGACATCAGCTCGAGGATGCCCTGGAACGGCTTAAGCGGAGCGACGAGGTGCAACCAGCTGAAAGAAAGCCGAGGTCCGTTGTCCAGATCTTTACGGATTCGAAAACGGTCCTGATCATACTGGCCGGCCGGTCTTTGATTGATGGGACGGAAGCTTGGCGAGACCAGATGATAAAGGTGGTGGATTTGATCTTGAAACAGGCATACGCGATTCTCGACATCGCAGAAGTGGAAGTGAGTCTTGAGGGAATATGGCTGCCGAGTCATAATGAGGCTCTCAGCAGCATCAAAGTCGATCTGCATGAACTGGCTGATCAGGCTGCAAAAAAGGGAGATGGCAGCGAGTTTGCTTTCGGGAGGATTGGATTCGCCATGGCACAACAGAATTGTCGGTTGCTGACAGTGTTGTTGCCCCTTTGTTCCTGCCTGTTTTGAGGTCGCGATTTGAGTTCGGATAGTAGCAGATTGAGATTGGGATGGAAGGAAGGTCACCCAAAGTCTCTTGAAGGCGAGGAAGAAGGAGGGAAGGTGGAAGAAGGGGAGAATGTCGAAGAGGGGGAGAAGCGCAGAGACAGGGAGGAGGTGTCCAGAACGGAGGTGGGGCCGATGGATGGAAACGGGAAAGACAAGGAGTCTCAAGACGACTTAGTCCTACCACCGCTCACCCCGAAGCCATCAAACGGGGCCGTCTCACCGCTTGACAGCACGGCGTTATCAGATGGTGAGGGGAACCAGGCGCCAGCGATACAACAAATCGTTGTTGATGATCTGAAGTCCCCTGTCGAAATTATGGCTCCCCCTGTTGAAATCATGGCGTCGCTTGTTGAAATCGTAGCATGTCACGATGATGTTCGTGTATTACGGTTGACTATGCGGGCCCAAGCGTTGAGGTGGGAACTGAAACGCCGAATAGCTGGGATATGGATGAAGTTCCCGGGACGTTGATTGCATTAGGTAACGATGGTGGCTTGGAGACAGTTTGGCTGTTGATGGAAGTAAAAGTATCGATACATGGCTTTTGTAGTTGAGCCGGTATATCTTGTAGACTAGAAGTTTCAAACTTTGTTTCCTCAGCAGCTTTCTATCAAGGCGCAAATAGGAGGTATATGTTGGAGGCAAGCAAAAAAATGGAAATGGTGTGTTGGAGGAAATGGATTAAAGGAGGTCTTCCCAATCGCTTCCCGTGCATGTGGGGCTGGCCGATCGCTCACTTCAGGCTTTCATGCATCAACGCGGTGTCTGCCTAGAGGTACCTAGCTGATCTCCTCTTTATCCCTCCCTCTGCGGCTTGTCTTCTGCATCACCTTTGGTCAGGTACTACTAAAACAACACCTTCATCCCTCATCACCACGCGGCCATTAACACTTCGCAGATGAGGCTTTTACACACAACGGAGCTCAGACTCCATTCCTTCAACGAGGTCGGAAAGGATGTTCCCATCTACGCAATTCTATCGCACACCTGGGGCAAGGAAGAAGTCACCTTTCAAGATCTGCACTGCAATCCAGATGTGGCCGGCATGGCAGGCTATCAAAAAATTGTCTCCAGCTGTAGGATTGCTCGCAAGGAAGGCTATCATTATATCTGGATCGACACCTGCTGTATCGACAAAAGCAGCAGTGCCGAGCTTTCCGAAGCAATCAACTCCATGTACCGATGGTACGAGCATTCTGCCATCTGCTTTGTCTTTCTAGAAGACGTTGCTTACCCATTCCAACTCCCTTACCACGTCACCAAGAGGCGTGTAGGTGGAGAACCAAACCCGCCTCTACAAGCCTTTGAAGAGAGCTTCAGCAATAGCCGATGGTTCACAAGGGGCTGGACACTGCAAGAGCTCATTGCACCAGAGAACCTGCGTTTCCTGGATTGCAACTGGCGCCCTATCGACAGGAAAGATGGACTTCTCTCACTGGTGTCCAAAACTACTGGGATTTATGAAGATGTGCTTAGAATCCCGGGAAGGCTGCACGTTGCTTCTGTTGCGCAAAAAATGTCCTGGGCCAGCAGACGAGAAACCACGCGGTCTGAGGACATGGCTTACTGCCTCATGGGAATCTTCGATATTGCTATGCCCTTGCTCTATGGGGAAGGGGGAACAAAAGCATTTCTGCGTCTGCAACATGAGATTTTGAACTCGACGAACGACCAGTCCATCTTTTTATGGGCACTTCCGCCAACCGAAGTGAATGACAAGGAACTATGGGGTCTACTGGCAGAGTCCCCAAGCTGGTTTAGTCATGCAGGGCGAATATCACAGTCCCACTACTCCCACGAAGATGGCTCGTCGGCCTTGTCTCGAATCACCAACCGCGGCTTATTTCTACAACTTCCAGGTGTCGATCTGGACACAAAGGGGGGTGCCCGTGACGTTCTACTTCTACCCAGATGCGACATTGAACCCGGAATACCATCCGCGCTAATTGTCAGAAAGATCGATGGTGCCGTCAATGAGGAATACGGAAGGATTTTTGTAGAAGCTCAGTTGGCCATCGAATCCAGCAAAATCGCTCTCTGGGGAACAACAACAGTCTTTGATGGGCTGGCGCATGCTGTGTTTCTGACGTACTCCGGCACAACTATCAAACGACGTAACATTTATACGAAGAATATATATGTGGATCAAAGGCCGAAGCCACTGCCGTGGAGAGTTCAAGGTTTCTGGTTTATCAAACCAGGCGTCCCTCGCATAGCTGAAGGTTGCGAAAACAGATCCATAGGGTATGTGTTCCACCAACCTGTGGTAACAGCACAGGGAAGCCCAATGCGAGATTTTCAATGGAAACACAATGGGAAAGACCATTTCATAATCATCGACATCAACCGTATGTACAACAGGATACCTGGGGCGGGAAACGAGCACCGACGCGTTGAATCACTCGCTAGTTTGGAAATGGAGGTCTGGATCAAACCCACAAGATTTCCAACTGGTGAAGCCGACGTTGGAGCCGGGAAAATTTTGCCCCTCCGGCTGGTACTAGGTGCCGAGCTGAAATATCAGGATGGAATCTCTCGCAGCCCAATCATTTCACCGGCTTGGTCATTGGAGGTCATAGACAGATGCACCCCTCCTCAACCTGTCATTCTACCTGACAGTAGAAAGATTTCATTGAGGTCGGTGGGACTAGAAGACTTTGTCGCATACGCCGACGTCCAGAGGGAAGAAAGAGATCTTAGAATGTGGTATGTGGTTAGCTTTGGGATCAAACAAGTCAGATTCAGGATCTATGGGCGTGTTGCTCCCGTCATATAATGCTTTCTCAATCACCAAACCTCTTACATGCAATCAGATCTTCATAATCAATAATTCACCGGCTTTAGTTGATTGACTTTGAAAGATAATTAATATTGGAAGTATGAAGAGACAGCGAAAAGGTGTTGGAGGACAATGAAAAGGTTTGTTTCCTATTCAAAAATGCATATATTAATAATTAATATACCTTTTACTTCCTTGCAGTACCAGGTATTTTATCCAAGGCGTGGTGGGAGCCTAGCAGTATGTCTGTCCGCTACCATAAGTTGATAATCTGGTCCGTGCTCTCATCACTCAATCAGCCCGTATAGCTCAGTGGTAGAGCGCATCACTCGTATCTTGATTGCGACATGATGAGGTCCGCGGTTCAATCCCGCGTGGGGGCAACGAATTCGTTGTTTTTTCCCCATAAAACAATAGTCTAGTTACTGATAGATGACGCCAATTGACTTTTTCCTTTTTTCTTACTTAGATTCTCATCAAGTTCCATCGCTTTACCTGCTCCGGCTATATATACTATCCCAATAAATATTCATCTAGCATAACGCAGCCGGGTAATAGAATAAGCATTGTGCTTATACAGCAACTCATATGAAAGTCCAAGTCCTCAGATGGAGGTTATCTTGTGTTGTTAAGACTTTGTAAGTATCCTAAGCAGCTGAGGACAATGCACAACGGAAGAATCATACAGATTGATGCATGTGATTCGACCAAGGTGTATCACCAGTAAAATCACAAAGAATGTGGATAGCCCCCAGTCCCACTTGCACGACAGTGATGGTGTTGTTATACGTGAGCGTTGGTGGAAGCATACAGCGAAAGCGGCACAGTGGAGCGGGGTACCTTACTTACCTCTGTTCAACAAAGTACCCAATCCCTCCATTTTAGTCTAGTACCCTGTGTCATCTTTATCATCTTCGTCTCCGACTATGGCCGTCCCTCAGTATCAGTACCATCAGCTCGATTTGTCTCAAGATGCAATTCGCCTAGTCCGACTATGCAAGGGCTACGATGGGCCCCTACGCTGCGAGTTGTTCGAAAGCTTTCTACACGAGTGCGACGGCGTCCCCTATAATGCGCTTTCTTATACATGGGGCAAGTCCATCAAGCAAGACGAAATCACTATCAATGGTTGCAAATCCTTCATCACAGAAAACCTCTACTGCGCGCTCTGGAACCTGAGGGAGCAACATGTTGATAGGGTGCTCTGGATCGACGCTATCTGCATCGACCAGGACAACCACAAGGAGCGAGGCCATCAAGTGGGGCAGATGCGAAACATCTATGAGAATGCCGAGGAAGTCATTGTTTGGTTGGGTGAACGGACAATTCTCACTGATACGGCCATGGATCTTTTGGACCGAGTCAATCGACACGTCACCGTCATCAGCACGGGAAGCATTTGGAAAAAGTCAAAGACTGCGTGGCTATCGGACCTTGAGCATCGGCGCAGGTTGTTTCTTGTTGGAATGGAGGAAAGCCAGGTTGAGAAATACAGGCAGGCACTCCAAACCTTGTTTCAGAGCCCCTGGTTCAAGAGAATATGGGTCATTCAAGAAGTCGCTCACTCTAGACGCTCAACAATTACCTGTGGACGACGATCTGTGCCAGCCCGTACCTTGGCCATGGCACCGGGTTTCATTCAGTATCAGCCCGAAAGGCATGTTCAATCCATTCTGGACGTGATGCCTGGCTTTCATAGGCAGGAAAGTTGGTGGACCCGGCAACGCAGTCTCAACACGCTTCTTGATAAGTTCAAAGACAGTGAATCCACGGATCCCCGTGACAAGGTCTTTGCGCTGCTGGGAATGGCTCTAGATGCCCAAGGAATCATTCTCCCTGACTACGAGGTCTCAGAGTCAGTGATCGTTCAGCGCGTCGCCTCCTTTATGGTGTTCGGGCGAATTGTGGACGCTGAGGTTTATGAGTTTCCTCAATGGCCTGTTGATAGCCTACATCAATGTGTAGCGAGGCTTATTGAGGAGACTCTTTGGTCAGCCACTATCCGCACGTCGAGGTGGACAGAGCCCTATGTTGCACATACAGAGCTTTGCGAAGACGAGCTCTTGGCCCCTAGCTATACCGGATGTCGATATGTCTCGAACACGTTCACAACCATTGGCAGTGCACAGAATGCGACAAATGAAAAGCTCGCCAGCGGGATTGTGGACGTTTTTGGGACCGCGCTACATCAGTCTGACATCCTCTACGACTGGAATCTCACTGGTCACATCTCACTCGGCGTGGTGACAAGTTTGGGCAACTTCGTGTATCTTCAGCTCCTGCTAGGGTATCCGAATCTCAGGGAGGCTTACGATAGCAGAGATTATGTTGATGGTGAGAAGTTTCGAGCCATATGGCTAGCCACCTACAAATCTCATTGCAAGGCCCTCAGACTTGTTACCCACGCTTCTCACATGACGGCAGAGATTCCCGCTCACTGTGTTCTGCCGGGGGAGGGGAGTCACGTGCTGGACTTACTACTATCTGATACTCATGGCTTTGACATGGAGGCGCTGCGTCTACGACTGTCTAACTGGGGCGAGCCTCCTCCGCTTGTCATCCTCATTTATGCGGCGGAGATTCGAACCTTGGAGTTCTTGGTCGCGAGAGGCGCCTCGCCCGAGACGATCATGGCACTTCCGAACAAGCAATCTTGGCTGGCAAACATTACTGAGATTCTTGCAGTGATGCCTCCGTCTGAAGCTTCTACGGGATTGATTTGCACTAGGCTGAAAGCCGAATCCCTCAGGTATGCTACTTGGCCGAGACAATCGCACGCAAAGGGCATGGAACGGGGTGATTTTGAAAAGTGTTTGTGGAATGGGCATGTGGGACTGGTCAAACTTGCGTTGATGAGGGGTGTTCCCTGGTCGACAGAGTACTCGTTAGAGAGGGCACTCATAACCGCAGCTCAAAATGGCCAACCTGGGGTGGTCAAAGCTCTCTTTGAGAATGTCGATGTTACGGTTCAAGCCCACACTTTAACATCTGCGATTTATCAGGCGCTCATTGGCTTTAGTTTTAACAAGGAAGAGGTGGCAAAGGTATTGCTTGAAGTCGGCTCGGATGTTTTGGGGCAGTTGCCGTTGGACTTGGCCCACAGCGAAGTGGTAAATCTATCATCAAGTTGGCCAGCCTACGCCTTGGAAAGATTCGAAGAAGTCATTCGCATACTGAGGGGAACCGCGGGTCCTGAAGGGGATACATATGCGATGCGACTGACAACTGAGCTCACAACCGAACTTTAATGACCTGTATTGAGTAGGTACCTACCTACCTAATGTTGAAAGGAATACAGAGACAAAAGGAGATATGTCATACCAAAAGGACACCCCTCGCTACGGGTCCAAGGCAAGGGGTATATATCGTCACAAGATTCCACACAGTCGGCAACAAAGAATAGCACCAAGTAATGAGAATGTCGGGCGTCTGATTCGTCCTAAAACCGCGGAACTTTGAGGTCGATTTTCATTCTTTCGCTTAATCTTCCCCACACAGACTTCCCTCCCATTTTCCCAACACTAGGTTGCTCACTCGACGGGGACCCAAAGGGGCCTTTCGTATCCCAGCTCATTTGCCCTGTGTCGAACGATCTGGAAGAGCATGTCCGCGATCTGAATAGCGGCTATAAAATTGGGGACGTTGTCCATGTCGCACCCCAGATTTGTGGCAATGGTTACCACTCGTCCGAGGATCATGCCCCTGATTAAGGCCCAGGCTGGAATTCTGTTAGCTTAAAACGAAGGTGGAACAAGCTCCAGCAATCGAGACTCGGTACAGTCTGTTTGAACATACCAGTTTCTTCTTCTTCATTGCCAATCAAGGGCTGCTCAGGCTCGGGGGTAATTGGACGACGGGAAAAGCGGCGGCGAATTCGGCGAAGCCAGCCAAACATGACAACTTTTCTTTTGCGGACCTGGGTGGTTTGAATGAGTCGTTAGCTGTCATTTTTATATATGAAGGGATGAAGCAAAGAAAATACATGCCTGGGGGGCTGGTGGAGAAGTGGAATCTCGGACGGCCGCAAATGCTGTTGTTGCGATTACAACTGTGTTGTGGACCGAGCGACAGGCGGGTAGGAGAAGAGCAGACGCAACAAGTGCTGCTTGGCTGTCGACCCCGTACTGACTTAACGCGAGGAACTCGGCGGCTTTGCTCCACTCCTATAAACCTGGAAACTCACCACAACCCAGTTTTGTCATGGCCTGGTTTGCCCACATAGGCTCCGGCGATATCATAGCACTCATCACTTTACTGTTAACATGTACTTGATTCAACCCTAAACTAAGGCACTCCCAGCTCCAATCGCGAACAGACTCCAAAAGTCCGTACAATTTAGTTCAAATTGCGCTCCAATCCGCCTCTGAAATCCTGACAAACATGTCTTCGTGTAGCTTTGTAATGTACGCTCTTTCTTTGACTGGGGTATGGACATCCACAACCTGAAAGTCAAAGTGTCTCATGAGCTGTCAATACTGTGTCAGCACTCCCTTCACACATTCGGACATGAAGATGATGATAATGGAAAAAGAAGAAGAAGAAGAAGAAGAAAAGACGGATGTTCGAGATGCCGCGTAAGATCGTACCTCAAAAAGTGTCTTGTTCAACTCAAGATACGCCACGTTCTTGCCCGCACAAGTCCACCGTCCTCCTCCCCAAATCATGTCCAGTGCTCGCATCATCTCTGTCTTCTGATCGGGGTCACTGTCAATGAAGCGCTCGGGCCGAAAAATGTCGGCATCGTCTCCGAAGATCTTCTTGTTGTGGGTTAAGGCGATGCTGTTGTGGCCAATTTCAGTCCCTTCGGGCAAGAAGTAACCAGCGAATGTGTCACCACCAGGCGGGACTACTTTGTAATGTCCGAAGGTTACGGCAGTACCAATGCGAAAGGATTCCCACATGATGGCTTGTGTGTAGGGCAACCGCTGTGACTCCTCGTTGGTGATCGGACTCGAGACTTTTCCCCCTTCGACAGCCTCCTTGATCTCTTTTTTGAACCGAGAATAGGCACGCGGCGTGGCGAGCAGATACAACATAGACGATCGAATTGTGCTCTAAGTTCTGTCAGCACAGTACCATCACAAGTGAGTCGAATATCCTTACTGCAGTCGTATCATTCCCGGCCAATACGGCAAGGATGGCTTCTGTGAAGAATCATGAGTCTTTACGCATACAAGTTGTGTTGGAACCGGCTTACTTACCTCCCTCGCATTCTCTTTTAGTCATGCCGTTACGGATAAAGCCGCCCTACATACCCTCATCAGATACATCAAGAACGGGCACTCGACAAGTCAAACTTACCATCATGTCCTTTGTGGGCTTGTCCTTGTTCTCAAAGCGTTGTCGAATGGCTTCATTGACGTGTCTGTTTTTGTGTGGTTTC